GCCAGCTCTGACCTTCCCTGTTCTAAGCTCCCTGCCAGCTCTGACCTCCCCTGTTCTAAGCTCCCTCCCAGCTCTAATCTTCCCTGTTATAAGGCCCCTCTCAGCACTATTGGCCTCTGATTTTACTCTTTTCTACAAAAGCCCTTTCAATCATTTCCCGGAGAATAAGCAAGAAACTTCCTAAGGGAAGGCTCTGGAAGCAGGGGGGTCAGATGGTGGACTTACACAGGACCTGGGGCTGAGCCATTCAGCTAAGAGGAAGTCGATGAAGGCCTGTGGTTTCTGATGGTTTGGGCCAAAGCAAATGTTTTCAGAAAAGGCTTATTGGTTCCTTGGGCTTCTCGGCAGGCACTGAGGCTACCCCACATCGACTACATCGAAGAAGACGCCTTTGTCTTTGCACAGAGCGTTCCCTGGAACCTGGACAGGATTGTCTTGGCACCACACAGACCAGAGGAGTACACTCCACCCAGTAAGACCCCTCCCGGGTTCAGTTCTGTTTCTGTCTTTTGGAAGACGCTTCTCTTCTCTCTGCCTGCCCACCCGGCTCTAGCGCCCCTCTCCGCTCTATGGTTCTGTGCTTTAAGGGCCCTCCCACCTCTAACACTGGATGCCTTGACATCCCCTTTGCTACTGGCATTCCATGTTCAGAGGGCTCCTCTCCTCTGCCTCGAACACTGCAGCTTATGAGATCCTTTTCTAATTCTAACACTCTATGTCCCAAAATACCTTTTAGAATTGTTTGGTCTAAGTTCCTCTCAGCTCTCACATTCTGTGTTCAAGGTTCTTGTGTGGTTCTAACATTTCATGTTCTAAAGTCTCCTCCAGTTCCAGCATCTGACGTTCTAAGATCCCTTTTAGCTACAACATTCTCTTTTCTATGCTGTGACACTCTGTGTTGTAAAGTCACTTATAGCTCTGCATTTCTGTGTTTTAAAGTTCCTTCAAGGGCCAACATCTACATTCTAAGGTCCCTCCCACCCCTGATATTCCCTGTTCCCAGGGGCCTCCCAGGTCTGACATCCCCTGTTCTAAAGCCCCTCCCAGCTCTGACATCCCCTGATCTAAGGCCTCTCCTAGTTCTGACATTCCATGTTCTAAGCTCCCTCTCAGCTCTGACATCCCTTGTTCTAAGCTCCATCTCTCCTCTGACATCCTCTCTTCTAAGGTCCCTCCCAACTCTGACATCCCCTGTTCTAAGGCCCCTCCCAGCCTTGACATTCCCTGTCCTAAAGCCTCTTCCAGCTCTGACATCCCCTGTTCTAAGCTCCATCTCTCCTCTGACATCCTCTGTTCTAAGCTTCCTCCCAGCTCTGACATCCCGTTCTAAGTTCCATCTCTCCTCTGACATCCTCTGTTCTAAGCTCTCTCCCAGCTCTGACATGCCCTGATCTAAGGTCCCTCCCAGCTCTTTAAGTCCAAGAGTCTGGCAAGCACAATCTGGCAAGCCAGAAGGACATATTTGAGGATGATTGATCTGGAAGTCTAAGTTAACATGAGAGCCTGTGTCAAGAGGGCATGATATTTGAAATGTAAACCTTGGCCAGCGCTGGCCTTGTGGTTTTTTAGTCCTTCCCTGGCAGGGTTCCTGGGCATCTTGTGACAGGCCTTCTGAGATTGCCAGGCTCAGTCACACACACCTTCATTTCCCCATAATGGGGAAGGTACAAAGGGATTCAGAGCAGGTGGGTGGAAGACACTGGATACAGTGACCCCCCAATGGGGATGATAACAGGGCCTGCTTCTCAAGAACCTTGTGGGGATCAGAGAGAATGATTGTAGAGCACTTAGCACAGTGCCTGATGCACTAATGTAAGTGTTGACTAGTAGTAGGAGCAGCAACAGCAGCCGCAACTAGGTGGTGCAATGGTTAGTGCAGGTCTGGAGTCAGAAGACTGAGTTCAAATCCAGCCTCAGGCACTTACTAGCTATGTGACCCTGGGCAAGTCACTTAACTCCAATTTGCCTTCATTCTTCATCTGTAAAATGGGGGCATACTGGAGAAGGAAAAGGCAAACCCCTCCAGTATTTTTTGCTAAGAAAACTCCAGGGTCACATAGAGTGGGAAACAATTAAATGACTAGTAACAACAAGTAGTTGTAGCATAGCAGTAGTAGCAACAGCAATAGCATCAATAGTAGTAGTAGTAGTAGTAGCAGCAACAGCAGCAGTAGTAGTAAGAGCAGCAGTAGTAGCAATAGTAGTAGCAGCAGCAGCAATAGCAGCGATAGTAGTAGTAGTAGTAGTAGTAGCAACAGCAGCAGCAGTAGTAGTAGTAGTAGCAGCAGCAATAGCATCAATAGTAGTAGTAGTAGTAGTAGTAGCAGCAGCAACAGCAGCAGCAGTAGTAGTAGTAGTAGTAGCAGCAGCAATAGCATCAATAGTAGTAGTAGTAGTAGTAGTAGTAGTAGTGGTAGTAGTAGCAGCAACAGCAGCAGTAGTAGTAAGAGCAGCAGCAGTAGCAATAGTAGTAGCAGCAGTAGTAGTAGTAGTAATAGCAGTAGCAGTAACATCAATTGTAGTAGTGGTAAAGTACTGGTAGTAGTAGCAGCAGCTCAATGCCTCCTTAGTGCTATCATGCTGGGGCACCCTTTGTCTATACATGGTAGAGATTCTTATTCACATGAAAGTCAAATGAAATGACTTCCAAAGTCCCTTATTATGTAAAAATAGAAAGAATTTACAAAAAGAGAAAATTAAAGTTATTTTGGGGGGTGGGATGTCAACATCGTGTAGAAAGTGTCCCATTTCTTAGGTTTATCAGAACTCATTATAAGTTATTTTTTCCCTTTCTAAAGTAGCTACAGAGCCTTACCTGGTCAGCCAAGATCACACTTACGGTCTCAGCGCTCGTGGCAGCGTTCAGTGAGCTCTTTTTGACTAATCACGGACCCCACGGACTGAACACCTTTGACAACATTGACTGAGCCTCCATTGAACGTCATTGACCTAGTGGCATCATTGACTTAGTGCCCATTAACTGAGCATCCCTGACAGCCATGACTGCTTAGCACCCATTGGCCAAAAACTTACGACAATGATGCCCATCCGTTGACTGATCACAGTGACGTTGTTGTCTTAACGCCCCTGAATGGGCTGCCATGAGAGCATTGAACAAGGGGGCACTGGTGAATCTCAGCTTCTCCTCTGTCCTCCCTCAAGCTGTAACCCCATAAACTTCTTTCTCAGATTTTTGTTCACCCCCAATGTCAACCTTTGTCTGATTCATTTCAGTCAGATGCATAACTCTAGGAGAAAGCGTGCCCTGTGGTGCCCCAGGGTTTGAGCCATAGCACAGGCTAAGAGAATTGGTAGCTTATAGAACCAAAAGGGCCCTTAGAAATCTTCTCAGCCAATCCCTTTGTTTGACAGAAGGGGAAACTGAAGCCCAGGGAAATGTTTGTGGTGTCTGATCACCTCAAGCATGGGTTTCTAGGTAGTGATCTGCACAGAAACAGCAGGAACACTTCCATCTTGACACTATTCATGCATTTCACCAAGACCAGAAGTGAACACTGGGGTGGCTTGGATAAGTTTGGTGGGGTTTGGCTCGTTCTGCAGAGGCCCTCCTGTCGAGGCGTGTCAAAGGCAGAGGCTGGCTCTGATTTCCGGCCTTCTGCTCACACAGTCTGGCAGGAGAGAGGGGCTGAGGGAAGATTTTTTTGGAAGGGAACATTTAGTAGAGGGGATGCATGTGGAGGGGAGTGAAAAACGCAGGGGATCACAGTGTTCTACATCCCCCAGGCAGCATCACTGTAAATGCATGGCTACTTCTGTTAGTTAGCAGCTAGCTGGTGGAAGGAGCCAGGGACAGCAGAGGATGGGGAAGCCTGGCAAGCAGACATAGGCAGGAAGCCTGGTCTGGTGTGATGTGCCCGAGCGCTGGTGAGGAGCAGGCAGACTTGTTTGTCACTCTGGCTGGAAATCTCAGAGGCATCACGGGTTCTCTTGTCTCTCCCCCTCTCACCCAAAGGCTGGCTGATCTTGTTTATCTGACACTCCAACCATCCATGAGCTGTCTTACTGTCACAGACCAGGAAAGTGGCTGGCCCCGAGGCAGAGGTCCTAGTCATTAGGGTGATGATTCCCACCTACATAGTGGCTTCAGGTTTATCGAAGTATCTTCCTTGTGTGTCTTCCCAGATTAATGTCTTAGCTCTGAAATGTCTATATTCTGTGAGTCATTTATGTGGGCTGTCCCTTCACAAGTGTTGATAGTAGCCCACCAACTCCCTCTCATTCAGTCCATTGATAAGTGTTTATTAAGCACCTACTATGTGCGAGGCACTGTGCTAAGTGCTAGGGACACAAAGAAAAGCAAAGGACTTTAAAGAAACTCATGGGGAAACTTGCCATAGGGAAGATGTTCTTAACTCTTTTTTGTATCATAGACCCTTTTGGAAGCCTGGGGAAGCCTGTGGACCCCTTCTCAGGATAATGGTTTTAAATGCATAAAATACCTAGCATTAAAAAGGAAACTAAGTGAAAGACAATTATAGTGAAATATAATTATCAAAATAAAAAAGAGTTGTCAGATGCCTATCCCCAGATGGCCTCTTCTGCCCTCCTCACTCTTTAACCCCTTCCCTGCTTTCTACAAATGCCCTTCTTGTTCAAAAAGCCCTCACTTGATCTGCCCATCCCCGTTAGCTTTGGCCCCACCCATCGCTTCTCCCTTTCCTGGCTGACATCCATCTGCCATGGGAGTCTCCACCTCCTCGGCTTCCACTGTCTTCTTCCCTCTCTGAAGCCTGCTTTCCATGCTCACTGTTCTAATGAAACCCCTCTCTCCGAAGTTAGCGATGACCTCTTGACCAGCAAATCAAACAGCTCTTGCTTTATCCTCAGTCTTTCAAGCCTTCGGTAGCTTTTACTGCTGTTGTTTACCCTTTTCTCCTTGAGACCCCCTTCTCTCTAGGTTTTTGTGATGCTGGCTCTCCTGCGTGTCTGACCGATCCTTCTTAGCCTCCTTGGCTGGATCTTCATCCAGGTTGTGCCCATTCGCCATGGGTGTCCCCCAAGTCTCTGTCCTGACATCTCTCCCTTTTCTCCTTTGACCCTGTAACCCCCCTGGTGCCCCCCTTCATCACCCCATGCTTGGACTATTGCAATGTCCTCTGATTGGTCTCCCTGCTTCAAGTCTTTCCTCACTGTAGTCCTGCTCAGCTGCCAAAGTCATCTCCCTAAAGTGCAAGTCTAACCAAGTTTCTCCCCTACTCAGCAAGCTCCAGTAACTTCCTGCTGTCCTTGGGATCTAGTATAGACTACCCTCTTGGCTTTTCCATTCTTCTTACACCTTACTCCCCATTACGTACTGTTCAGTCTACTGACACCTGCCTCCTTACTGCTCCTCAAAAATGACCCTCCATCTGTCAGCTCTGAGCATTCTCTCTGGCTGCCCCCCCCATGCCTGGAAGGCTCCCCTCCCCACCTCTGCCTTCATTCCCCGTCTTCCTTTAAGTCCCAGCTAAAAGCCCACCTTCTACAGGAAGCCTTCCCAATCTACCTTAATGCATGGGTCTGCCTTCTGTTGATTATCTCAAACTTAGCCTGTCTATATCTGATTTATATCTATTCATTTATATGTTGTCTCCCCCATTTGATTGTAAGCTTGAGAGCAGGGACAGTTTTTTGCCCTTCTTTGCATATCCAGGGCTTGGCATACAGTAGGTGTTTAATAAATGCTTGGTGACTTGACCTGGGGTTAAGAACCTCTGCTACAGAGAATTCCCCACCATCACCAACCCCAGTACAATGGAGGCCTTTTTTGGTTCTTAAACTATTTCTTGGACACAGGCTGAGTGCTGGGGCCATCTGGCTGTGATCCCTCACTTTCACTTCTTAACCAGCCTCTGTTCCTTTAAAAAACATTTAAAATTAAAATTTTGTTTTTACATCACAATCATTCCCAGGTATTAGTCACCATCTTCTCTATTACCTCTGCCTCTTTCCCCACCAAAAAAAAAGAGTTGAGCTCTCCTTTGTCAAAACGGAAACAGCTAAGGAAAGAAAAAGTATGTAACACAGTGGAAAAGGCCCTAGAGTCAGACAACTCGGTTCAAATTCTCCTTCTGATATTTACTGTCTGTGTGAGCTTGGGCACTTGACATTTCTGGGCCTCAGTTTCCACATCTGTGAAATGTAGGGAAATGGTCTCAATTGCCTCAGGTCCCTTGAAAATTCGGAAATCTGACTTACAGTTCGTTGGCCTAAATGGAATTGGATTCCTCATGTGAAGAGTGGTACAGTGAGTGAGAAGGCTTATGGACATTTAGGCTTGTTAGAAATGGAGCCAGTGAGCCCCTTGTCACTAGAGGTCAAGTGGAGTTGGATGGCCACTTGTCAGAGATATAGTAGAGGGAATTCCTGCTAGGTATGGGCATGTTTGTTCGGCAAGCATTTATTAAGCCCTTATTATGTACCAACCCGACACTCTACTGGGGACAAAAAAATAGATTCAAAAATGAAACAGCCCCTACCAATCAACAGGCATTTATTAATCGCCTTCTAAGAGGCAGAAGACTGTAGTGGATAAGGATCTGGCCTGATACCAGGAAGACACATCCTGGCCCTAAGTCACTCAACAACTCAGTGCCCAAGGCACTCTCTGAGTGTAAGTTGCAGAGAAGGTGCCTATGTGCTTTGGTGGAAGAAATGTCCTCCCTTGAGAGTTACCTATCCCAATGAAATCAAGGTTCATGCCTTTCCTCTTCGTGCCAGGTGCTGTCTGAGGTGCTGTCCAAGGTGCTGGAGATACAAAAATAAAAGTGAGGCAGTCCCTTCCATCAGGAAGAAACCTATCAGGGGAGACAATACATATGTGTATAAATACACACATACATCACTATATATATACTATATACATTATGTGTGTGTGGGGGGTGTGTGTATGGAGAGAAAGAGAGAGAGAGAGAATATACATATGCAAAATAGATACAAGGTGATGGTGAGCTGGGGAGGAAGAAAGGTACTCCTAGCTGATTAGATATTTACTCCAATAATCAGGGTGGTGGATGTCAACTTTCCAGAGATAGACATGCACTAATTAGATGGTTAGTCTAGTTGACCTCTAAGAGAGTTGGAAGGAGCCTTAGAAGCTCTGAGAAAGACTATTCCTCAAATCTCTTGGGACCCAAAGGAACTTACATTCCCCTGTGAAGATGTAACCTGAATACAAATAAAGAAAGACAAAATATATGCTAAGTAATTGGAGGGAGCACTGGCTGCTGGTTGGGGATCAGGAGATGCTACATGTAGGAGGTGGCATTTGGGCCTTCAGCCACGAAGGTTCAAATCCTATCTTTGATGCTTGTTACATTTGTGACCTCGGGCAAGCAATTCTCTCTGAGCCTCAGTTTCCTCACCTGTAAAATGAGGGGGTTGGATTAAATGGCCTCTGAGGGCCCTTGCAGCTCAAGAGCTACCATTTTCTGACATCTGCCTGCCTTCTCTATAAGATAACTACTCTTCACTTGTGGTGATGGAGCCCTGGGTCAACAAGGAGGGAATCTAGGGATTTAGAACCTTGGCCAGGTTCTTCTTAAACACAAAATCTTAGAGTTGAAGACCTTAAAGGTGTTTTTTGTTTTTGTTTTTGGTGGGGCAATTGGGGTTAAATGACTTGCTCAGGATCACACAGCTAATAAGTGTCAAGTGTCTGGTCCAAGACCAGATTTAAACTTGGGTCCTCCTGACTCTGGGGCCAGTGCTCTGTCCACTGTGCTGCCCAGCTACTCCTCCCTTAAAGGTTTTTGAGTCTACATGGCCAACTGGGCCTGGAGTTTCCTTTTCTATTAATTCCTTATTCAGCTTGTGCTTGACCACCTCCAGGGACAGGGGAGCTCACTGCCACAGGAGTATAGTACTTTCTGCAAACTGGACTTATGGGTACAGTTGGGTTATCGTTGCCACTAATGATATTATTATTATTATTATTTATTTCCTCTCCCGCTGTCTTCCATGAAAAGATAAAGGTGACCAGGTGGAAGTATATCTGCTGGATACCAGCATCCAGAGTGGACATCGGGAGATTGTGGGGAAGGTCACTGTCACTGACTTTGAGAATGTTCCAGAAGAGGATGGCACTCGCTTCCACAGACAGGTGAGACCTCCTCCCCTCCATTATTGTTCAGAAACCCCAGCAGATCTGCCATCCCCTTTGCATGTCAGCCATGATTTTCAGCTGTTCCTACCAAACTGTGCTGCTGCCTTCATGGCACCCCCAGCCAGGCTTTGAGAAGCACCAGCCTCTGGCCCAGTGATGCAGCATCTGTGCTGAGGGTCATGAAGAGTCTCCAGATGTGCTTTTGAATCATTGTAAGCAGAGAGATATTTTTAATTACCAACCCTTCTTTGTGTCTTCCTGGCAGGCCAGTAAATGTGATAGTCATGGAACCCACATGGCTGGAGTTGTGAGTGGCAGGGATGCTGGTGTTGCCAAAGGGGCCAGTGTCCAGAGCCTCCGGGTCCTGAACTGTCAAGGCAAGGGGACGGTCAGTGGCACGCTCATCGGTGAGTGGGGATTCGCCTGGTTCCAAACAGACCTGATCCAATAGCTTCCCCTGCAGCATGATGGGTTTGGGTTAGACTGTAAGGAGTGATCCCTGCGTTTGGCACTCTGGAAAGTACAGAGGTGCACTAGCCCTGCCCTGATGTGGAACATATAAGGGGAAGGCAGGGGAATAAGCATTTTATAGTACCTCCTACTGGTCTAAGTGCTTTACAATATTATCTCATTTGATCTTCATGGGGCTGTTGTTACCTTAATTTTAGAGTAGAGGAAACTGAGGCAAACAGAGATTAAGTGGCTTGCCCAGGGCCACACAGCTAGTAAGTACCTTAGGAGGGGTTGAGTTCCCCATCACTGAGCACCTCCGAGAGGCAGCTACATGACCCTTCTTCATCTCTGGGTCAGACTAGATGCTGCTGAAGTCCCTTTCAACTCTGAAAATGCTGATTCTATGATGCTTCTGTGATGTTGAGGCAGGATTAGAACTCAGGTCTTCTGATTCCAGGCCCACTGTACGAGAGGAGAAGGGCCCACATAATTACAATGCATTTTTGTTAAATGAATGTCTGCAGATTTGGAATTGGACGGCATCAAAGTGCACAGAGCATCAGAACTGGAAAGGACTTTAGGAATCATCTAGTCTAACCCCCTCTTTCTAAAAGAGGGCAATGTGACTGGGCCAAATGGTTAGGGAGTAATGGCCCGGATTTGAACCCAGGCCCTCGGACTTCAAATCCAGTGCTCTCTCCGCTAAATCAAAATATAGGAGTGTCAGAAGAGATGGTTAAATCCCAATAACATGGATGTTCATTGGAAGGAGAAAGCCCTTCCAATGTGGCTAGGGACACCTTAGAAGGCTTCTTGGAGGAGGTGACCTTCCAGGAAGGCCTTGAATGATGGGTGAGATTATCACAGGCAGTGCAGCTATGGCAGAACATATTAGGTAGAGGGAACAAGATGGCAAAGTGCTAGAAAATCATTAAATGTATTAAGGGAAAATTCACATTTCATACAGGCTAGAGCACATACCATACAGTACATGTAACAAATGGCAGAAATGTAGACTGGAAAAGTAGATCAGAGCCAGACTGAGGAGAGCCTTGAATGCCAGGATCAGGAGCTTGGAGATTAACATGCAGGCAATAGGGAACTCGCTGGGGATTTCAAGCCAAGGAGAGGTGAAATTGGCGCTGTGCTTCAGGATGATCCTAGAGTGAATATTTTCTGTTATCTTGTGTCCTAGTGAGGCATAGAAGACAAGGAGAAGCAGTTGACTTAGGATTTTATTGGCGTGGGAAACTCCCAGGTGGGGAAGCTCCTTTTTTACCGATCCAGGTTGGCACATTCTTTGTAATTTGAGTCTTAGAGATTGCCTGGGGGGTTGAGAGGTGAAGAGTCCTGCCCGGGCTCACACAGCCAGGGTGCATCAGAGGCAAGGCTCGAACCCAGTTCTCTTTGGCTTCAAGGACGTCTCCCCACCCACTCTGCCCCTCTGCCTCTCTCATCCTGGCAAGCACCATTTCTTATTCCTCTTCGTAATCTTCCCAGGCCCTAATACAGGGTCTTATTCGTGGAGAAGCTTAGGGAAGAGACCCCTGGATTTGGAGTCAGAGGACCTGCTCTGCTCATCCTGGCTCTGTGGCTTATTTCTTTTCGTCAGGCATCTGGAGGGAAGGTTGTCAGGTGGGAAAAGGATTAGCTCTGTCCAGAGTGGCCCCAGAGGGCAGAACAATGGGTGGCGGTGGGCAGGGTGCAGAGAGAATGATTTAGACTTGATGGTCAGAAAAGCTTCCAAACGGTGAGGCAGAGTCGAACAAAGTCCTCAGCCTCACTCTCCTCCCAGAGTCATCGAAGCCCAGTGTCAAGACAATGACCTTGACGTCTTCTGTGTCTGACCAAGTTCTTTTTCTTTTTTTTTTTGGCAAGGCAATGGGGTTAAGTGACTTGCCCAGGGTCACACAGCTAGTAAGTGTTATGTGTCTGAGGCCGGATTTGAACTCAGGTCCTCCTGACTCTGGGGCCAGTGCTTTTTCCACTTGGCCATGTAGATGCCCCTCTGACCAAGTTCTAAGCGCTCCCCAGCTCCTGCTTCTGCTGCCTTCGTGGCCATTGTAACAAATTGTTCTCAACCTTTCATTCTGCCAGGGGAAGTCTTCCCAGTACTTAGCACAGTTCCCAGAACATAGTAGGCACTTAATAAATGTTTACTGAATTAAAAAAAAAGGAAAGCTTCCAATCAGGCCTGTCCCAAAGTAGGCTGGGCTGCCTCAGGAGGTAGTGAGTTCACTATCTCTGGGCATCTACAAGAGGAAGCTGGATGACCCCTTGTTCATCTCTGGGTCAGACTAGATGCTGCTGAAGCCCCTTCCTACCCTGAAAATGCTGATTCTATGATGTCTTTGTGACGTTGGGCAAGCCCTCCTCCCCCTCTGGACATCAATCTGCAAGGGAGGAGGCCAGACCAGATGACCGACTTCCTCCGAGGTCCTTTCGGCTCTGCGTCGTGTGAGCCTATGATGCCCTGCTCAGGAACGGCGAGGTTAGGCTGCTTCACTGTCCCCAGACAGACAGAGGGCTTTGTGTTTTCTGTGTGGCAAACAGGCCTGGAGTTCATCCGAACGACCCAGATAGCCCAGCCTTACAATCCCCTGGTCGTCCTGCTTCCCTTTGCCGGGGGATACAGCCGCATACTGAACGCTGCTTGTCGGCTCATGGCGCGCACCGGGGTGGTGATGATTGCGGCTGCCGGCAACTACAAAGAGGATGCTTGCTTATACTCCCCGGCTTCTGAACCTGAGGTAAGGCAGGCCAAGCCTTTTATGATGGGATTGGGAGATAGGGACTGGGGAGAGGGACGGATGAAGGATGAGAAAGCAGGCCCCCGACCTCGAGTTCTAGTGCTGTAACAGCAGGTACCGGTCTACGGTTCCACTGGGGCGCACCTCCTCTGCTGGGGCACGTACAGGACACTGGCAGGGAGAAACCTTGGCTTGTCCCAAGGGCGAGTCCCTTCACTTCCCTGGGTCTCAGTTTCTTCCTCTATCACACAAGGGGACTGGAGTAGAGGTCTCCCCCACCCACATCTGTGATGCGTGGACGTGGCCATTTCCCTCCTCAGTGCATCGTGCAGCCCACCCTGGCTTCTCCTCCTGCCCCCGCCATATTTGGACGCTTCTCTAGACCAGTTTTTCTGACTCTTTCCGTGCTGCTGCCTTTGTCCCGGGCCTCTCCCCTGTTCACCCTGCTTGGGACCTTGTTACCCTCTTTCCTCCAGGTCATCACTGTGGGGGCCACAAACTCACATGACCAGCCGATCACCATGGGAGTCCTGGGGACCAACTTTGGCCGCTGTGTGGACCTCTTTGCCCCTGGGGAAGACATCATTGGCGCCTCCAGTGACTGCAGCACCTGTTTTACCTCTCAGAGTGGAACATCTCAGGCCGCTGCCCATGTTGCAGGTTTGTAGCTCCTTTTTTTCTAGGGGCCGGAGCTTTACTCCATCAACATTTATTGGGCACCAACTGTATGCCTATCCTTGTGGTAGGTGCTGAGGTGGACACATAAGTCACTGACCTTCAGAGCTTATAGTCTTGCAAGCAAGACAAGAGGGGAACTCAGCATGCATTTATTTATTTAGTGAGGCAATTGGGGTTAAGTGACTTGCCCAAGGTCACACAGCTAGTAAGTGTCAAGTGTCTGAAGCTGGATTTGAACTCAGGTCCTCCTGACTCCAGGGCTGGTGCTCTATCCACTGTGCCACCTAGTTGCCCTCCTTTTTTTTTTCCCAGTATGCATTTATTAGGTGTCAATGATGGGCTGGGCACTCTGCTTAGTACAGAGATACAATGATAAAAACAACTATCTCTTCCCTCATGGGGCTTACACTCCTATTGAGAGATAGGACATCTTCCCTAGTTCAGTAGGAAACAGAAACGTGTGAAATGAGTAACCATACTATAATTTGTTGGAGATAGGGAGGCAGGTAGGTGGCGCCATCGTGCACAGAGCACTGGGTCTGCAGTCAAGAAGACTCACGTTCCTGAGTTCAAATCCGGCCTTAGACATTTACTAGCCGTGTGACCCTGGGCAAGTCACTTCACCCTGTCTGCCTTAATTCACTGGAGAAGAAAATAGTGAGCCACTCCAGTCTCTTTGCCAAGAAAATCCCATGGACTACGGTCCACGGGGTCACAAAGAGTTGGGCACAATTAAACTACCAAACAAGGGAACCTCAGGGTATGAGGGATCCCAGTGGAGGAGGTGAGGAAGGAGAGGGTTCTAGGCATGAAGGACAGCCAGGGCAAAGGCAGGGAGGGTGGAGATGGGAAGCTCTGGAGGGGCTGCTGGGTTGGAATGTAAAGTGGGGGAGGGAGGATCGTGTCTCAACAGGCTGGAAAAGCAGGGGCTGGATGTGAAGGGCCCTGAATGCCCTTCCTCAGGGCACTGGTGAGTCCCTGAAGTCCCCTAGGGCAGGCAGGTGTGTGAGGAGGAGGAGGGCGGAGGGGGGAAGAGAGAGGGGGAGGAAGAAGCAAAGGAGAAAGAAGGAGAAGGAGGAGGAGGAGGAGATGTCTTGGGACCAAAGCAGTTAGAGCAGTTTTCTCTTAGGCATCACCGCCATGCTCCTCAATGCCGAGCCCAGCCTGACCATCTCAGGACTGAGGCAGAGACTGATACGCTTCTCCATCAAGAATGTGATCAACGAGGCCTGGTTCCCTGAAGACCAGAGGCTGCTGACCCCCAACTTGGTGGCCGCTCTGCCGCCCAGCCTCGAGGCAGGTGAGCTCCTGGCTCTCCTCAGGGGTTGTGCACCCTCCAAACCTGGGAGTCTTGGGCCCTTCCATGTGCCCCAGTCGGGGGAAAGGGCGGCTGATTCAGCGTCTAGAGGCCTCATGAATCAGGGATGCTGCATTGACCGTTTTCTCCCCTAAAATGAGAATAGTGATAATAGTTATGCCACCCACTTTGCTGCATGTTGGGAGAAAATCACTTTGTAAGCCTCAAGCACCCAGAAAATATGAGCTGTTATAATTATGTTAATTTGGGAGGAATCTGGACATGATTTCAAGCTCCCACTGTGGACACTCCCTCCAGCTATGAAGATGCGGTCTTTTATAGTCTTGTTGAGTTGCCTGGAGAGAACAGAGAGATGCATTGAACTGCCCAGGGCTCCACAGCCAGTCTGTTTCCAAGGCAGGACCCTTCCCAGCTCTGACATTCCCTGTTCTAGGGGCCCTTTCAAGGAGAAAGACTGTCTTGCTGTGTCCCTTTCAGCTCTAACATTTTGTGTTCTAAGGATCCTTCCAATATCTGCTTTCCATGTGATAAGGTCCCTTTTAGATATGCCTTTCCCTGTTCTAGAAGATCCCTTCCATTTCTAATATGCTACTCTTTAAGGTCCCTTTAAGCCCTGGCCTTCTCTATTCTAAGGTTCCTTCCTTAGGAACCTCCCCCTCAAAGTTCTAGGTAGTTGGGGGTGTCTTTCTCTAGTTCTCTAGTCTCCTTTTTGGGCGATTCTCTCACTCTTAGCTGCCGGTGATGTAAGCCCCAGTTCACTTTAATTAACTTTTACAAAAGGATATTGACTTTGAACATACGGCGAGAACAGAAGTTCTAATATGTCCCTTCAGCCCCTCAAGGTGGCACACCCTTCCCTTGGCCCCCTTAGTCCCAGGGAGGGCAGGCTCAGACTGACTGCAGTTTCTGCACAGCATTGACCCCACCACATGTCCAAGGGTGGCATCGTCACTGCACGAATCTGTGTCTCAGCTCCTGCTGGGGTGGCGCCGGGGGACACTTCTCCCTCAAGGGGCTTCAGCGCTGAACTGGCTAACTGCTAACCCGGCATGCACTCTCCTCCCAGACCTCCCAGAGGCTCAGACTCCTGACCTTTAGAAATTCACCAGGTTGCGCCCATCTCCAGCCTCCCTCAGATAGTGCGTGGCAGCACAGATCAGGGAAAGGTCTTGCTGTCTCCTCACCATTCTGCCTCTGTCCCTGGACCCAGCTGGGGTGGGTCCTCCCTGCTCACTGGGGATCAGAGTGCCCTCAGGGCCTGGTCCCTCCCCTCTCCTCCACTCATGTCTGGGCCTCGGGGTGGGGGGCCGTGTGTTCTTTCAGAGGAGCAGCTGTACTGCCGGACGGTGTGGTCCTCGACCTCGGGCCCGACTCGGACGGCCGTTGCCTCGGCTCGCTGCAGCGACAATGAGGAGATGCTGGGTTGCTCCAGTTTCTCCAAAGGCGGGAAAAGGAGAGGAGAGCGGATGGAGGTGATGTTTCCGCATGAGCGTGCCTGTGCCCAGATCGAGGGTCCGAGATACAGAGTTGGAAGAAAGCTCACAGACCATCTAGTCCAACCCCCTCACTGTAAAGTTGAGGAAACTGGGGCCCAAGTTGCTGAAGTGAATTTCCCAATCAACTTACCAATAATAAGCCTCAGAGGTGGGATTTGAACCCCAGTCCTCTGACTTAGGAGCCAAGACTCTTTTGATGCATGCGTCCAGTGTATCTGTACATGCTCACATTGGTGTGCAGGCTATGTGCTTGCGTGCTCATGAGTGGTAGGGGGTAGTAAATAGCACATGGACCTTGGACGCATGAGGAGCCAGGCTCAAATCCTTTCTCAGACATTTACTAGTTGAGTTGTCTTAGACAAGTCATTTAACCTCCCTGTGCCTCAGTTTCCCCATTTGCAAAATTGGGGGAGGGGTTCAATGGCCTAAAAGGTTCCTTCTATCTCTAAATCTATGCTTCTGCGATCACATTTGTGTGCTGCCGGCGTGATTATATGGGCACCTAGGTGTCACGTGGGCTTGTGTGTTCATGGGGTATCTGTGTGCGTTGTATGTGCTTGGGATCTTGTTCACATCAGCATTTGCCCCTGTCAAGGCCGTCGCCACCATCCAACCTTCCTCAGATTCCTCCCAGCTGGCACCCTCAGCTTGGGTGGATTGGACTGCACAGGAGAGGACGAGGATAGAATGAATTAGAATTAATTGGCTTAGTATCACTGCCATCTTACAGGCAAAGAAACTGAGATTAGGTGACCTGCCCAGGGTCTCCCAGCGAGCACCCGGCCCAGGGTAGCCTGCTCTCCTTCCAGGCCTCTTTCCTTCCCTTCCAGAGTTCCCCCCAGTTCTGGTAGCCCGAGGTTCCATAAACTCTACTGAAGTAGCATTTGGCTTCCTCCATGGCCCATAGCGGCCCCTGCCCCAGAGCTCCTGCCCGTGACTACCTGCACCATCCTGATCGATCTCATTCCTCCTGCACCTCCCCCAGAAAGCCCGGCTTGGGAAGCGTGTCCTCCTAAAAGGGAGACAGGAGGCAAGGCGCCCTTCTAGGGGAGCACAGAAGATTTCTTTCCTGGCTCTCATCTTTTCAGTTCTAAGGCATAGGACCTATCATTTCATAGGGAGGCAGGACCAGGAGGAGCGGTCCTGGGAGGTCCTTCCCTGACAGCTGTGGTTTAGTGCAATCCATAGGCGGGAGCCCTGATCTCAGCCCCAGAAGATGACTCTGGGGCCCTTTCTTCTGCGTGTTATGCTTTCTTTCCTTGGGCCTCAGTTTCCTCTCCTGTAAAATGGAATCTCTCCCCCCCACTATTTCCCAAGCTAGATAGGGGCAGGAGGGAATAATGAGACAGTGCATAAACTGAGGGCCTTCCATGCCACATTTGGGATAAACACAAATTTCAAACCCTTGAGACTCTCATGAATCAGAATCCAAAGTCCAATAACTATTGTGTTTAAATTATAGCAAAAACAACCATAATACAAGCAAAAACCAGTTTGGCCCTGACATCCCGATGGCCCAGTAGAAACTCCTGGCTGGAACATCTCTGGAGAAAGGGTCACAGCATGTCCTAGGATGAGGGGTCATAGAGGCCCAAAGCACCTTAGAATAGAATGGAGGTTGGGGCAGGGAAGGAACCATAGAGCACAGAACATCACAGAGCCAGGGCACACAGGAGTTGCTCGGAAATGCTGGGGGGATCCAATAATGAATGAGCGAATATCTTGGTGAGCCCGGGTTGCCTTTAAAAGCACATCTGGAATGAGATGTGTTTGTTTTTATGGGGATGTTGTTGACGATATTGTTTTTAAATCTCAGGTCCGCGAGGGCAGGAAAGAATGCCTGGCCTACAATGCGTTTGGGGGACAGGGAGTCTATGCCATCGCCAGGTGCTGTGTGCTGCCCAGAGCCCGATGTCACGTCCAGGCAGCTCACCAGGGGGAGGCTGCTGGAGAGGTCCGTGCCCGCTGTGATGAGGAGAGTCATGTAGTCACAGGTGGGAGCTCTGGGGCAGGGGCCGCTATGGGCCATGGAGGAAGCCAAATGATACCTCAGAGTAGAGTTTAGGGAACCTTGGGCTATCAGAACTGGGAGGAACTCTGGAGCAAGGAATGTCAGAGCTGGGAAGGGTCTTAGAACAGGGGATGTCAGAGCTTGGAGAGGCCTTAGAACAGGGGATGTCAGAGCTGGGAGGGGTCTTAGAACAGGGGATGTCAGAGCTTGGAGGGGCCTTAGAACACGGGATGTCAGAGCTTGGAGGGGCCTTAGAACAGG